CATTAAATTGAAAGACAATTTTGAGTAACAAGTTGAATAAATGCAGCTCAGTAAAGTTCTTTTATCTCGCTTTTCGATCATTGACCACGGATACCAAAATATTAAGAATATCTTTCTTCCTAAAATCAAAAATTATCCGCTTCCYGTGAGTTAAAATTAATCTGTCAATGCTCCGTTAGCAATGGTTATACGAATGCTCCGACGAAGGACCAGCGTCCGAAACATCAGAAGTTTTTTCATCTTTTCACGGTGTAAAATTTACCCTTTTATCATTAGTATTTAAAAGCGAGAGGTCACAGATATAGAAGCAGGTGTTCGAGCTCGAGTGAGAATTATTTGCGAAACTGATTCGGAACTTTCTCTCTTTTTATTTCGACTTTTATGAGTTATACATTCGATTTTTGGTTTTCACTCTTCACCACCATAGTTAGAATCGAACTAGCTAATTGTGGACCTTTTGCTTTGCTAGCAGTATTTACCAGCTACGAAGCCAAACTTGCTTCTCGACCTYGTGTTAATATTAAGTAAACAATGTCATTTATAAATCACTACACTAGAAAATCGGATTCAAACGTATCAGTAACACTCTCATTTTTTCAGTGAAGTAATTTTTTTAGAACTTACCATTKTTCGATGTTTTTGTTATGAATCTTTCTGGTTTCGATCCTCTTTGTCCTTCGAGCAAAGCGAAAAATACGAGCAAAACAACACGAAAATGAAAACAAGAAAACGCCATCGTCTCAAAGGAAAGGAAATTCGGTAATAAAACTCTGCAGATGTAAGTCGAAACTATTAAGTTATTTGTTTCGTGTTTTACGTAACTTAAATTGACGTCTGTAGAGATGATTTATAAGATGGTCAAAATCTTGATATATTTTGTGCTTTAAGAAAACATTTCTCCGCAAAAGACCTAAGCTTTCGTTTGACAAAAGCTGGTGAAGCTTCAAAGACGTTGAACAAACTTTAAAGACTTGTTCTGAATGAAATGCACTCTCAGATGCCTAACAAAATCCTTTCCGAAACAGCTGTGTTTAAAAAGTTTAAATACACAAGCCATTAGCAATAATTTACATATGATTTTTTAAAATCTTTCTTCGCTCTTATGAGATCGAGTTCTCATTGATTCTATAAGATGACTATGACTTGATTGGCGCTTCAAATGAGTTTCCAACACCTTCTCTCCGGTCAAATTATTTTAGTTTGCGTTTATACAAATCCATCACTTGAACAAACAAAAGCTGAGCTGCAATTCAAATATAATGACTAAATGTTTTGTTCGTTTTTGTTTTTGTTTTTCGGGGTCAGATCTCGTTCTCAGTTAAACAGAAAACTAAAATAAGCTGGATCACCTTCTCGAGCAATTTAAAAATAAGACAAAGAGGATAAAAAATTAAATCACAAAAAAAGTTTTGTGTATTTAAAAAATTGTGAAAAAGGACTTTATCTTTAATTGAAGCTTATAAACCAGGTTTTTTCGTTCAAAGGCAGGTTTCTGGAATTTGGATCGGTACATACATTCTTTTTTTAAGATAAATATTTTAGGCAATAAGTGGAATGGACTGAAACATCAACAGCAAAGATTTTGGACTTTATTCAAAGGCAGGTTTCAAATTGAATCAGGTGGGGCGTATCCAGGTTTTTTTCGATAGGGNTCGATCCTCTTTGTCCTTCGAGCAAAGCGAAAAATACGAGCAAAACAACACGAAAATGAAAACAAGAAAACGCCATCGTCTCAAAGGAAAGGAAAATTCAAATTCAAACATCCGCCATTTTGTTTGGGAAAAAATGTTCTTTGTATGTCATTTCGTTTGGGGGAAAAAAAGAACCGGCATTACATTTTCACGTTTTAATTTTGCCACACTTTGGAAAAAAATTTAAGATTATCGTGTAAAATCTAAAAGGCCGCAATTTTGTTGCCAAAAAAGAGGGGGGAGGGGGGGATAATGGCCCCCACTGCCTACGCCCTTTATCAGAACATTCTCTTTTTAAAAATACTTTGTTGTCATTCTTCTCGCCAAAACAAATAAAAAGAAGTGGGAYGTGTTTTAATGATGACGAAATAGAATTTCAAATAACGTGACAAGAATGGCTTCAATACAGGAATGTTTTATAATTCCTGCTGGTTTTCTTTCACATTCTTTTCCGGCTCAATTTACCAATAAAAAATTACCATAGTGTATGGCTAGTGTATGGCGCTCGTTTCTGCTTTAAATTTGCAAGATAATTCTAAAATATCGTTCTATGTCAACAAAATCTTAACATTTTTCACTATCATCTGATTATTWACTCGTATTTGAAGTTGTTAACAGTATTGGCACTCAACTCAAAGTGTTAAGGGAAGGTAGATTTATTGAGGAAGCCGGCGAAGGCTGGGAGCCGATTAGCAGCAGGAAAGCCCACCTCCGATGTGTTCTTGGATGCGTTAATTGCGCTGTATTTGATTAGAGTTCTCTGATTGTCCCCGCTGCGATAAAATGCCAACACTAATAGTTAGATAGATAAATTGGTTGTTTTATCATCGAGATTTAAATAGAATGCGAAGCGGCGCTTTCAGGAGGGGGAGGAGAAAGGGGAGCAGCACTGGYGTCCGCTACGCAGGCTAGAGTTTAACTAACCGTTTTGTATAGATTCCAGAAAAAGTTTCTAAGAAATTCCAACTTTGGATTAAAAGGATGATTTCTTAGGATTGGGCACTTAATTCACTGGAAAAATTTGATCCKCATTAACTGTCTGTAGATTACGTAATAAGATCTGTTTATTCGCTGCCTCGAGAACACAGACAGCTGTTATYAATGATCTTAATGCGAGCTAAAATAACCTCGGAATAAAAAAAAACAATTCTGCTAAAAATGTTATTGCGAATTTAATTTTTTATCGTCAAGGTAAAGAAATGGCTCCACTGCAAAAATAAACTTGGAATTTAAAAAATATAAATTCTGCTAAAAATATATTTCATTGCGAATTTGATTTTTATCGTCAAAATGAAGAATTTTGGGCGGTCTTAAAGCACTGCATCGCACAGTGACAGTCTTCCCGTATCAGGTAGAATATCTGTGAAAGATCGATTTTTCGTCAAGAGTTATAAAAACTTTTCAATTTAAAATTCGATTAAAGCAAGTTACTGTGGTGTGCCTCAGAGGTCGAACATGGGTCCAACATGGGTCCATTAGAACTTTTTGAGCTAATGAAGGAGTCCAAAAAAAATTTTTTTATCGTCAAGATAAATAAATGGCTCCAGTGCAAAAATAACCTTGGAGTTATAAGAACTTTTCAATTTAAAATTCGATTACCGTATTTACTCTTTAGGACGCCGCGGCGTTTATTTAATTTCTCGTGGT